GCTGTCTATATCTGATGGATCAGTCCGTAGGACACAATGGAGGGGAACGGGAATGATCAGAGGTGAGAAGAGCAAGCACTGGAATGTATTAGTAGACATGCTGCAGATTTTGCAAGCCAAATAGGCGTTCCTGGGTGATTTTTAAAACTCTTCATATGGCTTTCAACACATTGTTTGCAAAAGCTGTCTTACCATAACTCCAACCTTCCAAACAACACATGTCCCCTCAGCAAACATAAGAATTTCAAAATATAAGTGTGCTTTTGAGAAGGAATCGTCAAAGTCAGTATGCGTACAAATCTTTACATCATACTATTTTACTGCTCCTTGAAACCTAAAAAATACATGTGGCCCAGTTCATTAGAACTGTGATTATGTAGCCATCAGACAATTCCGGTTGTTTCTGGGCCTGACCTGGGAGTACCACCTTGGACAGTAGTTTTAAATAGAGGGTGACAAACTTGTTTTCATTAAAAATAAAAATTATTTTTAATCTTGAAGATGATTACACACATATCACTAATATATTTGCTTATTTAAACTAGGTCTGAAATATCTTTTACCTGAAGAACTAAAAAGAATATTCAGGGGGAGGAAAAACACTAGAGAAATTAGATTTTTTTTTCTGCAAAAAATTTATTGTTTCATTTGGTCCAATGCATGGGAGAGGGCTTCAGGGTGGTTAAAAGAATGGCTAGTAGTTTCAGGGAGAGGCTCAGGCAAAAGCCAGACACCAGAGGGATGCAGAGGGACCCCTCAAAGTCATGCCTGAGGGTGAGCCTTTCGAAGAGATACTCGTCCAGCCCAGCCTGGGAGCCGGCTGCCTGCGGAGGTGAGTCAGGTGTTGCCCATCTTCATATATATATATCATATATATATAGTTATTATTATTATTAATTTCAGAGAGGAAGGGAGAGGGAGAGAGAGATAGAAACATCAATGATGAGAAAGTCATCAATCCGCTGCCTCCTGCACACTCCCTATTGGGGATCGAGCCCACAACCTAGGCATGTGCCCTGACTGGGAATCGAACCTGGGACCCTGCAGTCCGCAAGCCAATGCTCCATCCACTGAGCCAGATCGTCCAGGGCTTGCCTATCTTCTTGATGAGTTTCACTTGTTCATTCAGGAAGTGGTTCTCCCAGAAGTCACAGAGATTAAGGTCTGTGCGGTGGAACCCAGGGCCTGCAGCTCCACAAGGGCCTGGTTCAGGTTCCTCTCCAAGGCGAGGGCGGCTTCCAATTTTGCATCTTTAAGAGACGCTCAGCGCCCTTGTACTTCTCCGCCAACTCAAGGAAGAAGTGGCCCCCATCCTCCTGAGCCACATCCTCAGGGTCAAAATAGAAGCCCAGAGAGAGGTAGGTGTGGGAGGCCCGCAGAGGCAGGTTGGCCAGGGGTTGACCGCAGCCTCCACCTCGGTGGAATAATTCTGATGAATTTGGGAGCTCATGGTTTTTTGGCGATAAGAGTTAAGGTGTGTTGGCTGGTCCCGGAGGTGGTTCTGAAGGTCGTGACTGGATAAGACGCAGGAGAGTGGCCGGAGGTTGGAAGAAGGGGGGGCCCTGGGTCTG